AACTCTCTCTTGCTTTACATTATCCTTTGGTTGACACTTCTTTCTCTTTAGAGGGCTCTCACCAATGGACTAAATCAACTAAAGAATGAGTTGGTAACTTAAAATGAGTAAACAAAAGTGATAAGTAAAACTTGAGCAAGATAAGCTTATTGTGTTGCATTACATGTGTTCAATCGGACGTTATATTGAACACAAGGAAGATTGGAGTATTTCATACTCAAAGTGATGAAATGAGCCAATCTCCTTGGTCTCTATTGCCCTGGATCACACATGATAGGGTGATGGTCTTGAGTCTTGTTTTTGTATACAATGAAATTGTATTCCTTGGTTCTTTGGCCATCATGCATTGAAAATGCTTGGTTGGTGGTTTTGGAGCCAAGAGTACCGCTCCTTGGAGATGTTTTGATGATAGGGAGTGGTACACAGTACATACAACCTGCGAAACTACTTCTTTGTTGCTCTTGTTGTGCTTTGTTGCAGCAGAATAAAGTTGTTCATCAGTGGCCAGCAGCCCATACACTGATGGCTAGCAGTGCCTTTTTGTAGTAGGCACATGGTTGGCAGCCTCCATTAGTGGTCGGCCAGCCACTGATGTACTCTCAGAACAATTTCCCTTCAGCATACCATAATTCAACTATGCAAACAGAGGCAGTCAGCAGCAAAGTAGTGGCATTCCGGGTGGAAACTGAACGCGCACATGTGCATTTGATGTGTCTTAAGTTTAACTAGTTAGAACAGCATGCCTATTGTTATTTTTGAGCTGGTTTTGTACTTAATTAATTTGGTGTAATTAATTAGCGCATTATGTATTTGATTAGCTTAGATTAATTAATTCATTGTCGTAATAATTAAGTAGCTTAGCTTAGTTATTTCTTTATTTTGTGTTGTAATAATTAGCTTAATTAGCGTAACTAGTTAGCTCTTATTCATTCAGACCCTCCTTTACGAGGGCATAATGTTGTAATAAGTGTGCGTGCGTGTGTGCATGTCTTCTAACCCCTCGTCTTTCTCCCTTTTATTTAATCGCTTTTGATGGTTAGATTAGGGACATTTTCAATTAGCATACCTTATGCTTGCATGCTTGCATCCATTCATTTGTCTTGCATGCACCGAGGCTCGGCGTATCATTCAAACTGCATTGCAATTTCATTATCTTATTTGAATGTGTTTGAAAGCATGCTATCAAAGTGTTACAAATACCATGATTAAGTATCCAAGCCTATTTAGTCGCATTATTGCATATGTTGCATTAGTCATTTAATATAGTTAGGGATCATGCATTTTTCTAACTTTGTTTCCCTTTCTAGCTTGGAGTACTAGGTGAGTTTTACGCTTTAGTATATTGCATGAGTATGAATGATGCCATGATTAGCATGCTTGCCATGAGGCTATGTACTTAAATGTTAAACTGTATGAATGCCTGTGGATGAAGGCTTGTTGTTTGAATTGGAATGATTCAACGAGTGTAAGTTTTAAGCCCACTTTATTGTGGCAAATCATGTTTTAAGCCCGCCGTGTTTGGTGGCAAAACAACGTCTTTAAGCCCACTTGAGGGTGACAACTTCAAATCATTTTCGCAAACAAACATGACTTGAAAAGTTTCAATTTTTGCGATATAGTCTATACTTGCATGTGCGCGTCATATAGTAAAGCTAGTTTAATAACTGGAATAAGAACACATAATGTTTATAAAATATCATATCATGATTAGTAGATACTGATCTTTGATCGGGTGAGCGAAGGTGCTCATTTTAGGACCTTCCTTTCTCATACTTAAGTTTTCAAGCCGAGACAACTTTGGTGATGACAGACACGTGGCCTTTGGTACGAGTCAGGGTTTCCTAAATTTCCCCAAAACAAAAATGTTTAGGTGGCGACTCTGTATCTGGTAAAGCCGTCCATTTTTGGCATTATTTGATTTAAAATCGATTTTTCAAAAAGATTTGTTGGATTTGGACTCTTTGGTGTTTATCGGTTTCACATTGCACTTGTGAGACTAGATTTAAAACCATGACGGGAGTCCGAACTGTGAGGCCTTTTCATTTCAAACCTTTTTGAAAGGCGGGGCGTGAGAAAAAGGCGAGTCCACACCTATTTTTTTATTTTTATTTTTTGTAATGCCTATTGAATATTTTCATAAATTGGTTTTTTTTCAACTTAAATATGGATTGATTGGTGTATTTGTCCTACATTTTTTTTTTAATTTTTTCTTTATATTTTCAATCATATGCAATTGAGATATGAAAAGAGCTAATGCTAGCTAGCATGACAAAGATACATTAAAAAAATAAAAATAAATAGAAAGACAAAAAAAAAATAAAAAAAAAGATGAATAGAGTAGGACTGAAGTATGAAGATGAAGCTAAAGCTAAAGATGAGGTTGAAATTAGAATTTTGGTGAATTAACAAAACCTTATCTTTTCAAGTCTTTTCTCTCATTCCTTAGTATTAGCCTTGTTTATAGTAACTATGGGTCTCTATCCTCTTTTCTCCCGACTCATTTATCTCTCTTTTGTTATAATTTGTAAAGAACAAAGTATGTAACTACTACAACTAATCTCAACTTAACTCCTTATCTAGCTAGCTAACTTTCAACTAATCTTGCCACGTTATCTAACTAATTCTCTGGCTTAATATATCTCATTTCCATTCCTATCATTCTACCTCCCTTAGAAAGGCCTTGTTGTCAAGACACAACAAGAGAGAAAAGAAGCCATCTTCCTTAAAACCCTATACAACTCGCACTATCACCAATCACCACCACCACTATCGTCAGTCGTAGCGATCTTCCTTAACTTATCTCCTTCCCATGCCATCGCCACAAGACTTCCTTATCAGTTCATCATCTTTGTTGCTGAAAACCCTAGTTGAGATTGCGATCTAAAAACCCATAAAAATGATTGCGATCTGAAAACCCTAACTGCGTTCTAAAAACCCTAGGAGTTGTCGTAGGTGATGTTAAAGAAGAAGAGGAAGATGAAGAATGTAGGGTTTGCAATGATGATGCTGTGGGGTTGAAGAGTAGCGCTAGTGGCTGCGGTGGGACGGACTGGGAAGTAATGGTTGCGACAATAAAGGTCTGTTGGATGGTGGTTGAAGATGGTAGGGATCGTCAGAGGTGATGGGGATGAGATTAGGGTTTGGGTTAGGGTTAGGGTTAGGGTTAGAAGATTAGGGTTTGGAAAATTAAGGGTATAGTTGGTATTAAGTTGAAAGCTCAAAAAGAAAATGAAGGGAACTCATTTTACTATGTGAAGGTTCAAAGAAGTGGGGGTTTAAAGAAGAAAGGTAGGGTAAATAGAAGCCCAGTAAGAGAAAATATTATTTTGCTTCCTAAAGTGTCACTTAAAATTAATTCAACTTCTGTTATTTTAATAATATTAATTTTACATTTAAACTATTTAATTTTAGATCAATTTTGTTCTTGCCGTTAGCTGTTGTTTATAATCAAAAAACAGTTTCTGCTATGGCACCAAATTTTTTTTAAAATTTTATTTTGCCCTCTAAATTATCTCCAAAATATCAATTAGACTCCCAAACTTTATAAGGGGTCTAATTGATATTTTAGGAATAATTTGAGAGAAATAAAATTTCAATTGGAGGTTGGATTGACATCACGTCAATAATTTTTGTTTAAAATTAATGTAAATTTAAATAATCTATATAATAAAGTAGGATTATTTTTAAAAATGTATCAAAATATATCAGACAAACATTTGGTTTTAATAATCTAGATCAATCCTAAATTTATATTGATGGTTCACATCAATGATGGTTCCGCCTAAGGCTTGGTTTGGAATAACCTACAAAAATCAAAAAATTACTAAAAAAAAATAAAAAAAAGCATACTATTTGTGGGAAAGCTTAGAGGGCAAAATTATTATTTTGCCATTTGAATTCAACTATCCAGAGTTAACAAGTTAAAAGTCAAAAAGTCAACATGGATAGAACGGTCATTTTAATTTTACTATAATATTTTATTATACATTTTTTTCATCTATACTATATATTAAGCAAAATGGGGTTTTTAACCCCAAGCCTTGTGGCCCAATCTAAATTTCCTGATTTTTGATTTTTTTTAAAAAAACTTTTGCATTTGTTAACTTCTCCCAACCCCCAAGTCTTACCCTCATAATAACACTTTAATGCATTAAAACAAGCATAAAAAAAATTCTTTGAAATGCAACACATATGAATTCCTTAAAAAGTCCTAACACATATGATTATTATTCCTCATAATAACATTTTAATGCATTAAGAGCAAGCATAAATTTTTTTTTAAAAAGTCCAACACATATGATTATTATCAAAATATTAAACTTTAATATAATATAATAAAAAAAAGAAGACATTTAATTTCTTAAAAAGTCCAACAAATATGATTATTATCAAAATATTAAACTTTAATATAATGTAAAAAAGGAAAAAAAGAAGACATTTAAAAAAAAGAAGACATTTAAAAATCGCAATTCATATATATAAATAATTGTAAATATATTAAGAAAAAAGGGTTTCTAAACCCCAAGCCTTGTGGGAGCTCTAATCTCTCAATCTTAATTTTCTAAATTTTTGATTTAAAAAAAAAAAACTCAGCATTTATTGATTTAGTCAAAATCTCCTGATCAGCATTTCTTAACTTTTTTCAATCCACATGCCTGCATATATTGATTTGGTCAAAATTCCTTATTAGCATTTAAAATCCTCTCATACAAATAATTATAGATACAACCCGTGCATAGTTACTACAGTAGCCTTTTTAATTTCTCCTGTACACTATGGTTATTGATAAGATTGTTAAATTATTTTCATAAGAAATCTTAAAAAACATAATTTATATATTAAAAAAAATTAAAACATATATAAATATCTATAATTATCCCGTGCATAGCACCGGTGATAAGCTAGTAAAAAGTTAAAAAATTATCTAAAACATACATATTTTTTATCTACTTTTTTTTAATAAAAAGTAAAAAATTACCCTTTATCGCACGTCCCAAACAACCCCCCCTAAATGTATCAATGATGGTTGTCCCTTCACTCTCTATCTCTTTCGCACTCTCTGTTCTCAACTTGAACAGAACGAAAAAACCCACCCTCTTCATCGACAACTTCTTCTTCTCACCCTTTGCGTCACCTCCTTTTCATCGACACCACCCTCTTCGCTACCTCCTCCTCCTCCTTCTCCTTCTCCTTCTCCTTCTCCTTCGTCACTTTCCTCTTCATCAACCCTTCGATTTCAACTCACAAGGTAATATTTCAATTTGTTTACAACCCTTCTCGATTTCAATATTGTTGTTTTGGTCGCTGTTGTTGATTATGTTGTTTTTTTTATCCCTTTCTCTGCTCTTGCCTTCATCCGTTACAACCCTTCTCGATTTCAGTATTGCAGAATTAAACCTATTAAACCTACTCGCAAATTGTCAATTTCCTCCTTCCGATTTCAGTATTGCAGTTAAACCTATTTGAAATTAAACCTATTTTCCTTAACCTGTTGGTATGATGATGTTGACAGTGGAATGAAAACCTATTAAACCTACTCGCAAATTGTCAATTTCCTCATTCCGATTTCAGTATTGCAGTTAAACCTATTTTCCTTAACCTTTTGGTATGATGATGTTGAGAGTGGAATGAACAAGAGCCTAATTATAAAGGCATTGCAGTTTATTCATTGTCCTGTGAAGTAATATTGTCATTGTGCTTGTTTTTTGTTGTTTTATTTTATTTAAATTTCCCTAACTTTTTTTGATCACTATTGCATTTTGAAAATATTTATGATTTGTTTAAGAGAGATAATGAGAAAGAGAGATAATGGGGATGATGTGATTTGTTTAAAGGCTGAAAAGCCCACCTTAGTGACAAAGATAACTAATCGAACCTGTATTTATATTTTCACCTCAAATTTTAGCAACAAATTTGATAAGTTACATTTTAACTTAATAATTTCATACTCAATTATATTTTAATCTTATTATTAATTATATCGTGCCTTTAGACACAGGCATACACTAGAAATTAACCAAGTTATGATCTATCAAATAGTTCAATTGCTCATCCAATCAAATAATTTTTGTTTGTATATATTTTTATTTAATTTTTTGTTGAATTGGTCGAACGGTTGCTTGGGGTAAATTTGTTTAAGTGTTTATTTATGTAATGGTCTATGAAGCACGGGTACTCCAAAAATAGTGCCGTACACGTACCAGGTGCGGGTATGCGTACCGGTACGGTTGCACGCATATCGGGTACGACAAAAAGGAGTTCGATATGTTTGGTTCAATCGGGTACGACTTGGGTACGACTTGGGTACGGCATGGGTATGCCTTTGGTGCGTTTTGGGTACGTTGGGGCAGAAATCAAATTTTCAGGAGAATTGAGGCGGTGCCGGAGCAATATTAAGAAAAATTTCAAAAAAAAGAAAAAAAAGGAATATACACGAATGATGTTTGTTTTTCCCTAATCTCATCACTTTTGCCCTAATCTCATCACTTCAGCAACACAGCAGCAAGAGGCGACACAGCAGCAAAGAGGCGACGGCGACCCATCCATTCCCTTCGAAGGCCTCCAGCGACGGCGACGCAAGGAGTTCCGGTGAGTGCTCTTCGTCTTCATCTTCATCTTCTTCTTCTTCGTATTCATCTTCTTCTTCGCCGCCTTCTTCTTTGTTACATCTTCCACCCTCGTCTTCTTCGTTTCTTCATCTTCATCTCATATATTTTTTGTTTTGTAGAGATCAGCAAGCATCTGGTTTTGTCCCTTGTTGCATCTCTTCGTCTTCCCTTCAGTGAGAAACTGGTCAGAATTTTTGGGTGCCCCTGCATACCAAACAGCAAGCAATTGGTCAGATTTTGTTTCTTCATCTCCTTGTTTCTTCATCTCTTTGTCTTCATCTTTATTTTTTTTGTTTTTTTTCTTGTTTCTTGTTTCTTCTTCAGAGAGGTAGAACAAAAAAAAAAAATTAGAGAGGTAGAACCAAGTTATTCAATCATATTTAGAACAAAAACATTAATAAATTAAAACGAAAAAATTAATAATCAATCATACTTACATAATGTTAATAATCAAAAAAATTAATTAGAACAAAATTATTCTTTAACAGAAGAATGTTAATTTTTCCTTTGGTGTTGGTTATGTTGAATTGAAATATATTAATATTTGCCTTTTAGTTTTATAGTTCTCTTTTTAGTTTTGATAGTTAATTTTAATTTGTAGGTTGGATCTTTTAACCATAAGTATAAAAAATTAAAAAAAATAAAAAATATTAGCGTACCGTAGCCGTACCCGTATCATACTTTTTTGGGGTTTTGCCGTATCGGCGTACCTGCACTCGTACCCGTACCATACTCGTACCCGCACCCGTACCCGTGTTTCCTAGGTAATGGTTATTGATACTTTGAATAAAGGTAGTAGACTTTCATCTCTGTTATTGCTAATGCAGTTTGTTAATGTGAAAAGATGTGCAAAATAATATTTTTCGTACATAGATTCTTTCTTTTCTTCCCACAACCATTAATTTCCTTAAGTATTGTTTTCTTTACTAACTCTGTTTTGATGTTTTGTTTTTGTTTGTCATAGGTCCTTAATTTCTCCATCTTAACGTAGAAGTAAAGCTATACCTCCTCCATCCTTCCTCCCTAGCGGTTGCATTAGCAGGTGTGTTTTTTATTTATTTGCTTTTAATTAATAGTAGGGCACTGGTGGGTGTGCTTTTTTTTATCTATTTATTTTAATTGATAGTAGGATACTTGCGGGTGTACTAGCAGGGCACTAGCTAGTGTGTTATTTTATTTATTTGTTTCATTTTAATTGATAGTAGGGTACTTGCTTCTATGTTTTTGAATTTATTTGCTTTGAATTGATAGTAGGGCATTGGCGAGTGTGCTTATTTATTTATTTTCTTTGAATTGATAGTAAGATATTTGCTTTGAATTGATAGTAGGATACTTGCGGGTGTGCTGTATTTTTTTTGTTTTTTTGTTTTTTAATTAATAGCAAGGGACTGGCGGGTGTGTTATTTTATTTGATAGTAGAGTACTTGCTTCTGTGTTTTTGAATTTATTTGCTTTTAATTAATAGCAAGGCACTGGCGGGTGTGCTTATTTGTTTGTTTGATTTTAATTTATAGCAGGGCACTGGTGGGTGTGTTTTTTTATTTATTTATTTAATTTTAATTGATAGTAGGGTACTTACAGGTGTGCTTTTTATTATTTGCGTATAATTGATAGTAGAGCACTGGCTAGTGTGCTTATTTGTTTATTTTCTTGTAAGAATTAATAATTGATAGCACAGTATTGGCAAACTTAAGCCTCGTTTGGAAATAGGCTTTTTTAGTAACTTTTTGGCTAAAATATGATGTAAAAAAAATTAGTATGTTTGGGATGACTTTTTGGTTTTTTACGAAAAGATGTGCAAAAAGTAGAGAGAAGAGAATCTTTGACTTTTTGGTATGAGTTGTTGGCTTATTGATTTTTTTAGTAACTTTTTGACTTTTTGGCTAAAAGGGGCACTTGCCAAACGAGGCCTTAATAGAATGCATTAAAATAAGAGGATTTCAGATCAAGAACAATAACGCAATTAGTAATAACCTCAACGGCAGTAGCAGATGCATTAAAATTGGCGCCAAGTAGTTTTCCAAGGAAACTAATGTTGATGAAGGAAAAAGTTCACTGCCGCCATTTTACCTTCTACCTCGGAGCCGTGTAGATTAGAGAGAGAGAAGGCAAAGATTGAGCAGTGCTGTCGTGGTAGTGAGTATTCTGGGATAAACTTCCAGAGAGAGGAAGAGTCGCTCGCTGCAAACCTATAAAAATATAATGGATTGCAAATGTTAAGTTGTAGTTTAGAAGCAAATACCTATTTAAAAAATTCAACGTCATTTCCCTTTTCAAAACTCAGATTCAAAGTATAAATAAAATAAAAAAGAAAAGGAAAAAATCAAGTGAAAGAGGAGAGAGGCGAAAGAGGAGGGCGAGAAGATAGTCGGTGGTTGAGAGATTAGAGGACAACAAGAGATGAGGAGAGGTGGTCGGTAGGTAGTAGGTGAGTGGCGGTGTCGTCGTGAGAGGAGAGATAGAGAGAGAGAAGAGTGTATGAAAGAGGGAGGATTTGGGCAGAGATGAAAGTGGGGAGAGTAAGAGCATTTGGGCGGGAAAAGAATTGATCTCACCCGTTTATTTTTGTTTGGGAAGATCTATACCGTTAATATCAAATGTATCTATGATATATTTTATACATTTTCAAAAACTGTCGTGTCTTATTATATTAGCACGGTGTAATAAATCTTATTATGTTATCTTTTCTGTATAATAAAGCAGGAGGGTTTTTGAAAATGTGTCAAAATGTTTTAGAGATACATTTTGTTTCAAGGGTTGAGATTAATTCCCAAATTCATTAAGAGTCAAGATTTCTTTAATTCTCACTCATCCACCTTCTTCCCCCCCTTCCCTTTTTTTCACTCATGCAATCTCTCTCTCTCCCCTGTCCACCTTCCTTCCTCTTTCCTTTTTATATTTTTATTTTTTATTTTCCCCCTTTTTATTTCCCTTCCTATTTCTTTCTTTCTTTATTTTTTTTTCTCCTTTTTTCTCACTTATTTTATTTATACCGTGCCTTTAGGCACGGACATGTATTGGTTTAGATATAAAATTAATATTATTAAAGAAAAGAAGGGTTGAATTGATTTTTGTACCATAGTTTGGGAGATATTAACAACACTTTTGGCTCTTCTTGCTCTTTTTTTTTTTTTTCAAGTCTATCTTTTCGTTTCTCTTTTGCGCAGCAACTATTCTCAGCGGCGAGTTCAGATCATCTGTGGCGGTTCCTGTGGTGTCATTTTGACCCTTGTTTTTTTGTTTTTTTCCAGACTCTTTTATTTTCTCTTGTTTGTGAACCCTAACCCGTCTTTTAGAGAGACAAACAGAGAAGGCGACGCGGGCGGTCGTCGTGACTCAGGCAGTGAGGCGAGGGGAGGCGGCGACGAGGTCCCTTTCATCTACATATATATATGATTTCTTGCCATGGTTTGATTTGTTGTTGATTTGTTAAATGGGTTTGATAAGTGGTTTGATTTATTGAGTTTTATGGGTTTGATGATTTAGGGGTTGTTGTGGATTTGGCCCTAAATGTGCCCCCAAAACTGTAGTTGTCATTTTTCTCTTGCTTTATTAGTCAAAATCTCAATACCCCAAACTACTTTAGTCTCTTTCAAAGGAATGGGGGCCTCATCTATTTATGTCTGCTTTTGGCCATCTTCACCAAATGGGTTTGATCAATTTTGAATTCTCTCTAGTTAACAGCTTTAGGTTAGTCTCTTGTATTCATTTGCTCAAATGGGTCTTGGTCCTCTATTTGGTTGCTCAGTAAACTGCTTAAAAGATGGGATTTTGAATCTTCCATTCACTTGTATACATTCTTGATCCTGAGATTATCATATAACATTGTACATTTTTTTATTTATTTATTTGTTCTCTCTGTTACAATTCTTGGCAACCAAATGGGGGATTTTATGAAATGTTACATCTTTTGATGTTTATATGTGAATTCTGTGAGTGTGTTGGGGAAGATTTCGACAAATGTGACTTTTGAAAATCCAGTGTTTAGTTTATTAAAATCATTAATTATTATTTTCTTCTTTGGGTTTGTTGCAGATGTATGGACTAACAATTCTTTCTTTCTTTCTTTCTCACTCTTCTGAGTTTTCTGCTACATTTTCTGATTTGTGTTAAAGTCCTCCCATTGGCTTAACAAGTGAATCAAAAAAGCATCATTAGCAGTAGCTAGTAACATTTTTCTTCTGTATACTCTTCTATGGAAGTGCTACAATAGTATATTAGTAGAAATCAAAAGAATGAAGCCTTTATTTTGCTATTGAAACTGTATTGAGTTAATTTTTTTCTAATAATCAAAATGCAGTAAGCATGTAACTTGAAAGTTGAGCTATAGCATTTAAACCACTCCCAGTACTACCTAGATGAGTTGCCTTATGAAGGGGAAAAAAAAAATCCTCAACAAATCCTAAATCATCAAACTCATTTAAGAAATCAACAACAAATCTAACTCAAGAAATAATATATATATATAAAACAACAAATGAGAATGATGATGAAAGGCACCTCGTTGTCGCCGCAATCTCGCCTTGCCGCTGTTGCGTCGTCACCAGACTCACCGTCGCCCACCATCCTCTGCGCTTCTCCTTCGCCGTCGCGTCCCTCCGCCTTCTCCTTCATCTTTCTCTCTTCGTTCGTGTTTGTCTCTCTCTCCATTCATGTTTGTCTCTCTCTCTGTTTATCAGGTTTAGGTGAGGCAATAGTGGAACAAAACAAAACAGATTCTAGAGAAGAGAAAAAGGGGGAAACGAAAAATTTAAAAAAAAAACCAACTAAACAAAACGACAACGACATCGTTTTGGCAAGCACCGCAAGCATGACTATCAGAATCTCGATCTGGATCGTAAGATCTTACGATTCTACGATTTCAGTTGGGCCAAACGATCCGGATAACATTAAAATCTTAAATTTAGTAGGATCTTAAAGTCATTACAATCCTAGTCATAAAATGATGTAGAATCGCATACGATCGCGATTCTACTTCGATCCCAATCCTACCAATTTTTTTTGTTACTATTTATTTCTTATATATATGCGTATATCTCTATAAAAAATTTGACTATAAACTCATTTTTCAAATGTCTTCTATAATTTATGTTAACATAGAATATACATTATATCAAATTTATCAATTTTCTTTAATCTTTTTAAAATAATGTAACAAAGTTTATCATTATCGATAATTTTTCATTTTATTTTGCAGTAAAAGTAGGATCTTACGATTCTCGATCTGATTTTACGATTCGATTTTACGATCCAATCCGATCCATTAGTCCCTCCCAACGATCCTACCTGGGATCTCGATTTTAACCACCTTGACCGCAGGAACCATGGCAGGAAACCATGGCAGAGGATTTGTACTCCTCAGCGGCAAGGCAACACCTGAGAGGATTAAGGTAAGCTTCCTTGGTTCCTTTTTCTATTTGAGTCTTCTCATCTTCAAATCTCTCGATTCTTCATCTTTTTTTTTTAATCTTATTTTTTTATATCTATATAGATCGAATTTGCTTCATTGCAGCCCTTTACTCTTCTTTATTGGTTATTTTCGAATAATTCCTAACTAACCAACCCTTTGAATTTGCCCTCTTTTGCTTCTAACTAATAAAATAACAATCGTAATTGCATAAAATAAAAGGGCAAATTATGATCCGGTACTACTTGTATTTTGGTCATTGTGTTGATGTCATAATCCCAATTGGCTCAATTTTGACCTTGCACTTGTGACTCTCTTAATTTAGTCGAATTAGTTACAATTGTTAGCATTTTTTAATGAAAAATACGCATATATTAGGGTCAAAATTATAAACTTGCTGAATTTAGTGAGTACCCTCAACCAATTCAGTGATAATTTTTCGTCAACCAATTTAGTGATAGTTACAATTGTTAGCATTTTTTAATGAAAAATGCACTCAACCAATTTAGTGATAGTTACAATTGTTAGCATTTTTTAATGAAAAATGCACACATAATATGGTCAAAATTATAAGCTTGCTCAATTTAGTGAGTACCTTCAACCAATTCAGCGATTATTTTTCCTTCAAAACACTAACAATGTTACCAATTGGATCAAATTGACATAAAATCTAAAGTTAAGGATCAAAATTGAGCCAACTGAAAGTGTACAGACCAAAATGACACGAGGCAAAATGTAAGGACTACCAGTGTAATTTGTCTTAAAATAAAATAAAACTAATAAATTTTAAATATAAGAAGACTGGAAAAAAGAAACAATTAGATATTCGGGCTCATAATATGGTGTATTTATTTCATTACTACTTTAATAATCTTGATGTTTTTGTAATTATTATTTTGGTTAATTAATTTTCATACCTATTTATAGTAATTTTATATGTTATATACTTGAATTGAAAGATTTTCACAAATCATTATAAAAAAATAAAAAATTTATCGGCATTTCCTGTAACGGACCTGTACCAGTATACATAATTGCATCCGTGAGTCATAGGTTCAGCCCTTCCAACCTTCCTGTAGTGTGAAAGTTGGCTATTTCCATTGTACGATTATAAATCTGCTCAAAAATCTTTTCAAGTAAGATAGCCCAAGTTGAAGCTGAATGATTTCCTTTTTTCGTTTTCTTCACAACTCCATGGGTTCCATCCTGCTGCTGGTTGTCAGTAAGACTGAAAAATCCCTCTGCCCATATGATTCAATTGCTAACTGACAAAGTAACATCAGAGAATTAACAAGGTGCTGAACTGGTTCACAAACATCTACAACCTCAACAAATGTTGGGGTAGGAAATTCAACCTTTGGCTCCAAAAATTGAGAAGCTATAATCATAGGCTTGTTGAGCTGCCTGCAAACATGAGTAATTTTCTTCTCTTGTACTGTTGGTATCTGCTGAATTCAAGTTTCAACCCCAAGAAAACTTCATGCCACCATTATTCTATCAGTGACCTCTATAATTTCTTCCAATTTTTCGGAGAGACTCCACACTCTTTATGTTTACTAGAAGTCTTATAGACTCAGTTATTTCAGTTGAGAGATAGTTCTTTGAATCGATAGCATCAACATCTTTTACAATTGACAAAGGAGATACAATCAACACAACGCAAATCCCAATCTTTTCTATGACTCCAAAACCTGAAATTCTCATATCAATACCTTTGAAAAGCCTTTGTAGTTTTCTTGAACATAAAATGGACAAGAACCCTCGAATTTCTTGCTAGTAAAACCCTCATTGAGAGCCATCCTTTGCTTTGAAAGAGCCCCATGATCATCCACGTGTAACTGACTGCCTTTTGTATTAATCATCATAGGACACAAAACCCTTTTGCTTTGCATTTTAAATAACGTAAGTAATAAAAATAATAATTCAGGGTCTTCACAAAATAGATATGCAATGTTAAATACAATAAATATGAAAAGATGAAAAGATGTGTTGTTGGTTATTTGAAAAATTAAAAGCTTAAAGACAAGAACAAAACAGCTGGTCACATTATGTTTAAACCTCATATGTGAAGTGAAGGCACAAAAACGTCCAAGAGGCACATCTTTAACTATGCCTCATCTTGCCTTTGCTTAAGCCTTAACATGTAATAGAAACAAATTGCCTGGGTGGAGCCTTATTAGAGCTCACTAGACCTTTGATGCTATCTAGGTCAACTTTAAACCATTTAATTGGAATTAGTGGCTAAATGGCTTGTTCGTCTGTTTTAAACTTTTATTCACTTCAATTTATGCTCTTTGAAACCAATTTTCACTACACTTTTCTTTTCAATATTTTGTTTATCACTGAACATTGTGTTACCCATGCCGGTTTAGCCAAAGTAGTGTAAAGATTTGGAATTAACCCAAAATCCCAAGCTTGATGCCTACACTGGACAACCACAAATACATGTGGTATGCGAACCACCCTATGCTTGGCCTTAACCCAAAGGTGGTAGTATACCTGAAAAGAAGAGAGGCCGCGATAGGGATAGTTGACAATCAAAATTCATGCATGTCATGCATGTCAATTCTTGAATTACTTTGAGATTGTCCTTAGTATGACTTGGGGACTCTATCTAATTGCTCTTGTGTACAGATGGATCGCAGCTTTGCTGATGAATTGTATTCAGAAACCTTAAGGCTTTCAAATGGAGAACTGGGTCCCATATCCAGTGCCAATGATGAGCAGAATGGCTCTTATGGTATAAATTTCAGATTATGCTCGTTGCTTTTCATAATGGAATTGGAGTTTGTGCAGAAACCTACATTGCATTGTACAAATATCAAATTTGTTTACATTTTTTCTCTTGTGTTTTAGATTTCTTGATGTCTCTTTTCCATTAGAAGCCATAAATAGGCAATAACCTTGTGATACTTGTTAGTGTTTAGTAACTGCTACTGGGGTAAAATGGGGCATTAACTGGAAACATGAACCCAAGCAAACAATAAAAGAATTGTAGTATATTTTATCAATTGAGCAAGCAACTACCTTAACTTGGTGCATTGTTGTTACTCAATTTTGATTTATGTGAGGGAATGTTAGAAAATGGTTTTTGGCAAATTTTAAGCCAAAATAAAAGTGAAACCCACACATCGTTCTTTGTGGGTCCAAGTGGTGACATGTTCGTTTTTGTGTGGAGATTAAGAATATGTAATTGGTTCTTTTAAACCATGTACGGGTGAATGGGAATTTGACCTCAAAGTGAGCCTCTTGAACATGGTATATGTTTGGTGGGTTTCCTCTAAGTTGGTGTACTGTGCTTGTTTCACATAGGAAAACTAGAAGAACTTATATGTGTATATAAGTTAGGAGTTTGGCACTTGGGTTTGGGTCCAAAGGGCATTGAAGTTTTGTAAGAAATGGAGTTATAGACTAAAGTGGGTTGGACCCAAAATTAGCACACATACGAGCGCTGCCGCTGCCTCGCCAGAACTGAATCGAGCTAAGCTGGGCACAATTACGGGTTGAGGGTCAACCCCGAGTGTATATATATATTTTTGGTAAAAATTTATTTGAATTTTAAATTCAAATTTATTGGGGAAAATTTTGAAATTCGAATTTGTATTAAATTTTTATGTGAATAGAGGTGTTCCTTTTCTCCTACTTCAGCCAGTCGTTACTTCCCTTCTTCTCTTTGCATTTTCCGGCCACAATTGTTTGTCACCACTTATCGTCCAATCTAAATAAGCACTTCACTGCATATATATAGATAGCTCTTTCGGCTATTTTAGGTGTCAAATTCTGCTCTACTTCATTTCTCTCCTTCCTCCTCCTATGCTTCATGTATAGAGATTCATATTCCGAAGAGAGAAGTGCATACCTAGTTTGGTTTGCCGACAGTCTTCTTGTATGTCATCCTAGGAGATGGACATCCAAGATTCTAAAGCATCGTGGAAGGGACGAAATCTGTCTTAAGGTGAGTGTTGAACGCTAGACTCGGTCTGTTCTCCATCTCTATTATCTATAACGATTATGTAAGTTTACTGTTCTATTATTTTATATTCGTTTGTTTTAGTTCATTGTATTTGTAGTTTCTGGAATTAAATTCAGTTCGTATAAATCTTGATTTTTGCATTTTGGGTTTTGGTTCCAGTTCTGTTTTGCACACATTCACACAGATAGTGTACACAGAAGATAGTCCCACAATCTCAAGACAGATCCTTCTAATCTTTGTGTACGTCTTGTTTTCTATTATTCATTTTCGTTCTGGTTTTTAAATCAGAATGGCTACTGAAAAAAGTACTCCAAGTACTTTCATTATGCCTACCCCTGTGCTTCTAATCGTTCCAGCAACGTTTTTGGTAAGACATGGAGAGAAACCAGAAAAATCCAATGGTAGTGACTTTAAACATTGGCAGCAAAAGATGTTCTATCTCACTAACTTGAATTTGGCTAAATTCCTTCATGAAGATGCTCCAAGTTTGAAAGAGTGAAATTGATCGGCAAGTTTTGCCGCAGTTGATGCTTGGAAGCATTTGAATTTTTTTTGTTGAACTACAACCTTAATGGGTTTGGACAACACATTGTATAATGTGTATAGTCCTAAGAAAATTGCCAAGAAATTATGGGAATTTCTGAATAAGAAACATAAAATAGAAGATGCCGGAATGGAGAATTTCATTGTCGGTAGATTCCTAGATTTTCAAATGGTGGATTCCAAGACCGTGATAAGTCAGGTCCAAGAACTTCAAGTTATTCTCCATGACATACATAGTGAGGGAAAATGCCCCTAAGTGAATCTTTTCGAGTGGTAGCATTCATTGAAAAGCTATCACCTTCTTCGAAATAATTGAAGAATTATCTGAAACATAAATGAAAGGAGATGAATCTTGAAGACCTGATAGTGTTGTTGAGGATTGAGGAAGATAACTGTAATTCTGAATTGAAAACGGGAAGTAACTGCTTGGAAACTAAAGCCAATGTATTGGAAAAGTCACGCAAATTCGACGGTAAAAAAATGGAAGCACGCTGGAGAGGGTCCTCAACGAGGTGGTAAAAGTGGCATTACCAAAAAGTTCATAGGGAAATGCTACAACTATGGCAAGATGGGACATCATGCCAAAGATTTTCAGAAACCATGGAAGGCCAAGGGAGTTCAAACAAGAAGATTGCGAATCAAAGCCAATATGACTGAAGTTGACAACATCTCCACTGGCGTCAATGAGAATAGTTTCTCTACTGTAGTGTCTAAAGCTACCTTGGTGGGGATCCTAAAGAATGGTGGGTGGACATTGGAGCTACGCACCATTTTTACTCAGACAGGAAGATGTTCGCATCTTACCAGACAGTGGACAGTGGAGAACAACTTTTCATGGAGAAATCTGCAACTTCTAAAGTTGAAGCACAAGGAAAATTATCCACCAAAAAAAAATGGACAAGGAAAACTGATCTTGAATATGATTTCGGGCAACGACCTCACCCTAAAAAATGTGCTGCATGAGCCAACATCCACAAGAACCTTGTGTTAGGATCATTGTTGAGCAAGAATGGATTTACGCTTCTTTTCGAGTCTAACAAATTTGTACTCACCAAGAGTGGGATATATCATATGTAGGGCAAGTTATCTGTGTGATGGGCTTTTGAAGCTCAATGTAATGACTATTGTACCCAAAGTTGCTATTAATAATAATATTGCATCTTCCATTTACTTGCTTGATAGCATGATAGGTTAGGACTTGTAAATTTTGACTCTTTACATTGACTAATTAATCTTCAATGTTTGCCAAAGTTTGAGATTGATCCTATGTATGGAAGCTAAACTAGCTAAGGCTCCATTTAACTCAATTGAAAGAAGTATTGAACCTTTAGAATTGATTCATACTACTGTATGCGATCTTAAGTTTGTTCAAACTATTAAGAAGACAAAAAGTACCATCACTTTCATCGATGATTGCAGTAGGTCTTGTTATTAGTTAGAAGCGAAGATAAGGCCTTAGAAATGTTTAAGCTCTACAAAACTGAGGTTGAAAATTAACTTGGCAAAACAATAAAGATAGTAAGAAGTGACAGAGTTGGTGAATATGATGTACCACTGGAAGCATTTTTGTTTTCAACATGGTATTATTCACCAAACTCCCGCACCTTATTCTTCTCAACAAAGTGGAGTTGTTTAAATAAAGAATAGAACTCTTAAAGAAATGATGAAAGCTATGTTGAGAAGTTTAGGTTTACCTCAGAGCTTGTGGGGCTAGGCAGTGTTGTTTGCAAATTATATGCTTTATAGGATACCCCACAAATAAACTAGTAGAACACCCTATGTGTTGTAAAAAGGTCGGCAACCTTTCTACAGATATTTATAAGTATGGGGATTTCTGGCCAAAGTAGCGGTCCTTAGTCCTAAAAAGACTAAGATAGGATCCAAAAGTGTTGATTGTGTATTCATCGGCTATGCAAATAATAGTAGTGTATATAGATTTCTGATTCATAAATTTGAAAATCCTAATATGCATGAGTCAAGGAATCATGCATCCGTTTTGAAAATGTCTTTCCTTGCAAGAAAGGAGAAGAGTCAAGTTCTCTCAAAAGAACTTATGATACTACTATTTGTAGTAATCAAGACCAAGAGACTAGTAACAATCTAGAGCAAGAGACTAGTAGCAGTCAAGACTAAGGGAAGTAGGATGAGGATAAATCTAGATGCAGTAAAAGGGCGAGAATGTCAAAATCTTTTGGTTCCAGTTTTGTTTTGCACACATTCACACACAATGTACACACAAGATTGTCCAACAGTGGGTGGGGTTGGGGGCCCAAGTATCATAGATATGTAATATAAGATCAATTCCTTATTTTATCCTAAGGTTATGTTTGGTTTATGGATTTGGAAAAGGAAAAGATAGGTGAAATGTGAATGAAATATAGCTAAATTTTACATACATTTCCTTTTCCTTTTCCTTTTCCTTTTCACTTTTCAAATCCCTACCCAAATCCATGAATCAAACACAAGTTAAGGAGTGCACAGTGAAAAACCCTTGAATAGAAATGAATATATCTGGCTTCTATCATATTTGACTATTTAAAGGTCTCATGTTTCCTTATTGTTCTTCTTGCATTTTGTTGTGTTTAGTGCATCTATTGAATGCTTGTGCTGTACTCCTAAGTATCTCTTGGTTGACTGAGGTTTTTAATTGTAACCAAATAAAAGCTTGGGCTTAGTTTAGTAGAGCCTTGGTCAAACTCATTTATTACATAAAGTACTGTTAAAATCCACCTACTCTCCACCTACTTCACCCACTTAAACCTACTCCACTAAACCTAACCCACTACACCACTACCACCTCACCTACTCCACTAAACCTAACCCACTACACCACTACCACCTCCACTTCACCTACTCCTTACCTACACACTCACCCTCTTCTATATATAGAAATCATGAATCATTGTAATTGATATCAATAAACATCAATCAATAATACATAAATTTTTAAATTTTTACAAGTACCAAACTCAATCTTGATTTATGAGCTCATTTACTTACTAAGCTGAGCTTGAGCAACATTGAGCTCAGCCCCAGTCGGCTTCATTTGGTCATAGAGGAAGGGTGTATGACGCTTTTGTTTGCGTGTATGATGTTTTTCTTTGTTTTTCGGCCCCATCCATATGCAAATTTAGTTAAGTTTATTGAAATTACTAATTATGCTTTTATAGACTTTTAACTCCATGTTTTTGTATACCTTTTTCTTGGGGAAACACTGAACTGTTGAACTTTTATATGTTGAGAGATAGAGAAGGAGAAAGAGCAATAAAGAGGAAAGGGGCAGTTCTTCTTCTTTGTTGAGTAACACTGCTATAATGTTCTATTTTAGTAGGTGTTAATCTAATTATTCAAAAGCATACACCTCCTCCTTTCTTTTCTGCTTATTTCCCCCTTTTCCTTCTAGTTCTTTGATAATTGGATATTAATTGTATCCTTTTCTTTTTAACCAGATGTAAGGATGAGTTTTCAAATTTTCTTTTAATTAGGTTGTTGCTAATGATGAGGGAATTAGTATTTCTTTAACATTCCATCCTTGCACATTAATTTGGCTACTAAGTATTGACTTAGGCTGTCAGAGTTTTTGCAAGGATTGCAAATGAGTTCATTTAGAGCCAATTGCAAGCTATGTGAAAAGATCAATAGCTTTGGCAATATTGACTTCCGGTTGAATGAGTTTTTTTTTTTTTAGTGAGCAAATTCACCAAAGAACCCAACTTTTCACTTAAAGTTGCTGCCTGTAGTTGTCCATTTGAAAATTGTGACTAGGAATTATGTAAATGTTGCCAAACATGAATTTTCCTTAATCTTCAAGCAAGGAGACAGACTAAATTTTTTTTTTTTGGTTTTTGGTTTCAGATCATGAGTTGGATCAATTGTCACATGATGATGGATCCTTATGGGGGAGTTCTCCTGAAGAACATGACAGTCTATCTGATTTGGATAGGGAGTGGAAAAGAAGGCATGACCAATTCCATACAGTATCCTTCCAAATTAAAGCTATTTACTTGTCCACGTTCGTATATATCTCTTTTTGTTTTTTAGGGCAAAATCCACTTTACTCCTGAAGTATGGTCTGGTAGCACTTTACCCCATTCTCTTTTAGAAATAGCCTGTTTAGTGAAGAAGAAAATTTCTGTAGTAAAAGTCAAGTCAATGTGTAAAGTCATGTTTACTCTTTTCTGCATCTTCTACTTCAAACTCCAACCCAAACCCTAACTGTACTACTCCCACTACACCCCCAACCCCTCCAGCCACCACCACCACCTCCACCACTTCCCTGCCACTGCCTCCTTCCCACCCCACCTTCCCAACTCCTCTGGCCACTATACCTCTCTTCCTCCAATTAATATATTGGAAATCAAAACGTTTCTAAAAGCTTACCATAGTGACAATAATTAATACAATCCCCATGTCAATATCATTAGAATTTGCATATACAAACGTAGCTTTTGGTCTGAACTCTTGATTTAAATAATGAAGCACAAGCACATCTCTTAGTTTTTTATTGTAACCTTGAATAAATGTCTTCACCTCGGCTAAACATTTATGCTAGATGGAGGGCATGAACACCTCATTGAATGTTCTCAACTTAGTCACATTTGATTTCAGATTCATCCCCTACCAGTGTATGTATACAAATATCTATATGTATATATATTGTTTATATATTTATAATTAAAGGTGTAAATAATTAGAAATTATGTTAAAATGTTAGAAATTAGATTATAAAATTAAGGGTAATTGGATATGAAGCATGAATACTTCGAAAATAGTATTGTTCAAGTACCACATATGTACCACTATGAGTATGCGTACCCGGTATGAGAAATATGTATCCGGTACTCGAAAGATTTTGGGTACAGCTTTGGTATGGCATGGATATGGGATGGGTACAGCATGGGTATGACTCGAGTACAGGAGATGGGTACATTACAGTTACTTTTGTGGGTATGCCTGGGCATAAATGTAAGGCTACCGGGTCATATCACAAGGGGTAAAAAAGATTTTGCCCCCTTTTTTTTTTTTCATTCCATGAGATTTTTGCAACTCTTGATCACATTTTAGATTGGATACCGTGATGGCGTCACAGCAGGAAAAGAAGCTTCTGCACAGGAGGGTTTCAACCTGGGCTTTAAGGAATCAGTACTCGCTGGATACAACTGGGGCCTTGTTAGGGGTGTTACTAGGTAAAAAGCAGTTATAATTTAACGATCTCTAACATGCAGATTTAAATCTGTATTTATGTGATCTCTTTTCATTCATGTTTATTTATTTTTTATTTTTGGGTTTTAATATTGTGTTTTTAAAATGGCCTTCTGATTTTGTCTGCAATCCCGATGAAGTGCACTGACTTTACTTCCAGACGGATTGAGGGAGAAGTTGGTTGAGACACAAGAAGAGAAAGACAAGTTCCAGTCTTTGTATGAATCTGTGCATTCTCTTTCAACAACAGATGCACTCAAGTTATTTCATGATATCTCAAAAAGGTCAGTGGAACAGATTGACAGTAATGAAGCCAGTTCCAATGTAGATCAAAGTTCCAACATTCTGCAAAATTACTCCGGGGAGCTTAAATCACTTGTTCTCAAGTGTCCTGCAATTGAAGTGAATTTAGTGTTAGATCACTAGGTGGGCTTCTCAACTTTTCCTTCTTGTCAGATAGTTCATATTTGTGGCAACAGCTATTGCAAAATTCAAGTCTACGAGCAAGCAATGTAATGTAATACAGTTCGTCATTCAATATCCTTACCATATATGTAATTCTAATTTACTGTCCTGGCTTGAAATTCTTTGTGCCTAAAGCCGTATCAATTAATACAATAGATGTTGATTTTTTGCTAAATTTTTATTTTTAATTTTTCTAGTGACAAGGGTAGATACTGTAGATGATGAACCTTCAGGATGAACATGATTCATCATGTTTTAATTGTCTTAAGGTCAAGATGGTGGTTTAATTGTGATACATGTGTCAATTAAACCATACGTTGTAATTAAATTACATGTGTCAATTAGACCATACATTGTAATTACCTAAATGGTCAGCATCAGCTACAAGCTTGAATGGGTCTTGAATGAGTAAAAGAAGCTGATTGCTTCAGATGAGATTCATATTTGAGTATTGGTATGTGTCATGACTTGCACCCCCCCTATGGATTAAGGTCATAACATGTCAGTAATCAAGAGATTACCTATAGCCTCAAACCTGATTAAACATATTCCATCAGAGTCAAGAGGTCAAAACGGAAGCAAACTTAAAATTTGTCCATAGAACTGTGCTTAGATGGCACATCAAACATTTCACATATATTTGTTAATAATCCACATCAAAAGGAAGTAAATATATAAGTTTTACACAACATAATCATTAAAGTCATAGTCAGCCAAATCAAAAGTTTATGTACATAGTGATCTAACATTTTCACCAAAGTAGCAAATGAAAGACAAAAGAAACAAACAAGTCTCGTGCGTGAGACGTTTGGGCTGACTCCACAAAACCTTGACTTTTCTCACATAACTTCACCGAGGCGGGGTTTGAACATCTCTTTGCTCACTTGCATACACATGAATGAGAGTGAGCGAAAGTCTAGTGAATAATATCAAATAGTGAAGGTACAAGAATGAAATTCGAAACAGATATACATACATCAAACGACCTTGGGCCCATTTATGGTTCTATCTAGTACATTAGGTGACTTCAAGCCCGAACATATCAGATGACCTCTGGCCCATTTTGTCCTTAACAGACGGCTTCGGGCCCAACTCATTCATGTCAAACGGCCTTTGGCCCAATCAATCATGTCCGACGGCCTTTGGCCCAATCAATCATATCTAACGGCCTTTGGCCCAGTCAATCATATCCAACGGCCTTTGGCCCAACCAATGACATAACGAATATTTGTCCATAATTCAAATTGACAAACTTATGAAACTCAAATAGGAGTAAGTAATTGGACAAATAGCATTCTTGAAAATATCTTTACTAAGATATTACTCACAGTGTTCTGCAGGTGGATTCGTCCTTGTGCTCGACCCTACATAAATCATAACACATATTGGGTCACAAGCAATTCAATCCGTTCTTAATTTATTTACTTCTCTTAGGCCTCTTTCTTGTCTTCTTAATCCATTCACAATGCCCAATGCATGCCTAAGAGTGCTTAGAAATGAAAGAGAACGGAAAATAAAACACTAAACATCCCTTTCAAAATTTCAGAAACAGGGCTTCCCGCTCCAGCGGACCCCTTTGGTCTGCAAAAGTACTGGTTACCTCATTTTCACGCTCGAGCATGATTTCGGACGCTCAAGCTAAGAGTCGAAATATGTGACTGGGTGCTCGAGCGTGACTCTCCCCGTTCGAGCAGACATCAATGTCTGCAAAAGTTCTGGGAGCTAACATTTCACGCTTGAACGACGCTTTCCCCGCTTGAGCGGACATCCCAAATTTTGGAATTTCCAGAACTGTTCTTGAAGCTCAAACTTGTATTCAAATTGATATAGCTTGCATAATATGATCCATAACTCACATGTACATCCTCTAACATGATGTAAATACTAATTTACAACATCATGAAGCTCAATTCCCATGAATCATTTACATGAATATGCAATTCATACCAAACCCATCTTCAATACTTCAATTTCATGTAACTAAAGCTTGTACCTTGATGAATTGTGCTTGCATGTGGAATATAATTTCCATTCTCAACTTCAATGATGTAAAAGATGATTAAAAGCATGAACTCTAATTAAAAATTCAACATGGATCATATATTTCATGCTCAAATATGCAAATTCATGGCAATATTTTACATGCATGCTTATAATGATTTCATAATCATCAAATCCAACTCAATTCATGGTCTTGATCATAATTCATCTTTGAGTTCATATAATTACAACTCAAATACATGAATTCATATCAAATTACTCATCTAGAGGCCCCAATCTTCACAAATGTAGTTAAATCTTGAGTGTGGCTTCCAAATTCACAAACTTTTGAGCCAAAATGCATAATTCTTCCTCTTCTCTCTCTAGAACCGGCCCTGTCTCTCTCTAGAGTGTGATTTTCAGATTTTGAGTTCAAAAGGAATGAGGTTAAGTGTAATAAGGCCCTTATATATGCTTGCCTAATCAAATTTGATTAAGGCTAAGTAACAATGCTCTAATTTAATTATTCTGAATCTAATTATTTTGATTCGAATCAATTTCCAATTAAATTTCACCATAGGCTCCAAAAATTACGCTAATCACAATGGTGTAGTCAATTTCAGTTTCCGATGCCTCTACGGCCTTTAATTTAAATTCTAAAGTAGAAAATCAAACAGATTTTCCTACAGTGAACAGATAGAAATACAAAAACACATATAATCATGTAATTATCACTCAAAACCATATCAAGCATATAATCACAATCATAAATTAAGATCAATTAACATAACACGGGACAGGGTTATTACAGTATGACTTTCTCAAAAGCTTCCGCAAGCAATGCCACTTTCCTCTTCAATACAGGGGGCAAGTTTGGTAACAGCCTCTCGTAGTGCATAGTCTAGCATTCATTCTTCTGAATTTTTCCTTTTGTCCACCATTTGATGCCTGAGATCAACCTTTTGGTATTCTGGGTCAGGCACGATGGGCAAGTAGTTTGGTTCCCGTGGGTTGAACTTCCTTGCTTCCTCTGACTCCTCAACAGGCCTCTTGATTTGATTATCCTCACATTATTGTTAGGGTTCTTGGGCAGTTCTTGACTCGAATGGTTTCCGTCACGGAACAGGAGGCTTTCTTTTGGACCTGACATGGTTGAATGCTCTACTTTGTTGTTATTTTCGGCTACACTGACTGTATTAAGCTCCCAATGAGTTTGATCTTCTGAATCTATGGAGTCTGAAATTTTGAAGCTCTGAGCTTCATGGTCCGAGTGGTTCTGGTCTTTAACATTGTTGTTGGTCTGAGACACTTAACAGATGACTGAACCAGGGCTTCGGCAGGAAGCCCTTCATCTACAATAAACTAATTTGATTCACCATCTTCGGCAATGACACCGAATTGGATTTTGTTGTCATTTTGCTTAGTCATATCCTGGTGATCTTTAGATAAACCCTAGAGCATTTCAGAAGTTGGGATTCTGATCAGTGATTTGACTGCACTGTCGTTCTCTTCCTCTTCTGTTCCACCTCCACCATTTTATGATTCTTGGTCCTTAAAGTCAAGTGATGACTCTGAGTTTGATTATTACTTATTTGGTCACTTAGCTTACGTGAGCAAACGATAAAAGATTCATGCATGCCATATGGTGGATTTAAGTGGGCTTTGTAAGAAGGCCATTGACTAAAATTTCAATAAACTTGTGGGTTATATACAATTATGACGCAAAAATAAGGAAATATAAAATTCGTATGCCTGTTTATGCCTTCGAGAGGTCGAGTTGTGCTTACAATGGACAAATTGATTTGTGAGAATATTATGGTATATTGCCAAATCTAGACCTTGACGATTAACACTAAAAAATGGTCGAATCTAATGTGTGGACGGCCACACGCGAGTGCACATGAGACAGAGAGAGAGAGATATATCAATGTTTTCCAAATCTAAGATTTGATTAGAAGAAGAAGAGTTGTGTTTGATTGGAGGGATAAGAATGAGGACTATTTACTGTGCGGATTGTAATTCGGAGAAAGTATTCAATCCGCCGTTTGTTTTTTTTTAGTCCGCCGGACATGGAGTCCGGCCGGACTTTTTTTTCCTTTTGTCCACCATTTGATGCCTGAGATCAACCTTTTGGTATTCTGGGTCAGGCACGATGGGCAAGTAGTTTGGTTCCCGTGGGTTGAACTTCCTTGCTTCCTCTGACTCCTCAACAGGCCTCTTGATTTGATTATCCTCACATTATTGTTAGGGTTCTTGGGCAGTTCTTGACTCGAATGGTTTCCGTCACGGAACAGGAGGCTTTCTTTTGGACCTGACATGGTTGAATGCTCTACTTTGTTGTTATTTTCGGCTACACTGACTGTATTAAGCTCCCAATGAGTTT